GCACGGACATTCGGCGGCGGCTGCACTCACAGTTGCCTTAGGGCTGCATGTGTCTGAACAAGTTGTGCCGAAGTGGGAGCGGTCACTTGAAATGAATATTCAACTACAGCAGCGCCTTTGGTACGAAGAACAAGAGACACGCATTGAACACGATCGTGGGTGCTTGGTTGATTCTGGTGGTCGACTGTTTTCATGGAACATTACTTCGGTGAGGGGTGACGCAACAAATACCGCAGTGCAACTATACAAAGCACATACATGCGAAGTGCTAACAGAATACCGCCATGTACCACTGAATGGAGATAAGCGCCCCCTCGCAGTGTCATTGAAAGGATGGGCAGACTTGGCAAACGTTCCAGATGACAACAATGGTAAGAGTCAATTGCAAATATACACAAAACAACTGCGCAGCATTGGGGTGCCAACTTGGACGGATAAGGTTGCATCATCAAAGAAGTGCTGGACATCCGACAGCGTGTTATCTGATGTTTTCCACATATCCATCTTCTTCTTCGGTTCGGACCAAGGTCCCGACCAAGTGGGATGCGACAAATTACTAGATGCAACGATACTTGACGAACGACTCGTCTGGAAGTTTCGGAATTGGTGTTTCCAGCACTGCTTGCACTTGACGGTGAAGCGCCAGCTGACCGACTTAGGTAGTTATTGGAGCTCGCTGGCGAAAACGATTCACACGATCAGGACGCACCTGAAGTCCTTTCGCATCTTCTTGGACGGCGACGGGAAAGGAGACCTGCTGAAGCGAGCTCCGCAGAGGCCACTGCGGGGACGATGGGGGTCGGCAACGCTGAGCGAAGTCCACTTGCTCAAGATAGGCCAGACGACACTGGTTGATTGTTTTCAGAAGCTTCTTGATGCATCGGGCGCCAAGCGTAATCACGGCAGCCGCATTGAGCCCGAAGTTGACGAGGAGGAGAGTTTCTCGGACAAACGCCATCGGTATATACGGGAGGCGCTGGCAGCCCTGCGCAGCGACGAGTTCTGGTGCAAGATGGAGGCAGCACATCGATCCAGAGGACCAGCTGATCATTGCAGGTTTTGGCTGATGAAATGCATCGGGGGATCAACGCCAGATACCGGACGACCTTGCAGCTGCTGCGTACGTTGGGACACAACAACCAGGAACACTCCACCTATTGTTACCTTCGTTTGCAAACAGAGTCGAATATTTTTGAGGGAATGGATGGTGCTACTGGATGCAGAGTGGCCGCGTATTTCATGCGTTCAAGACCTCGGGGAGCGCGCATCCTACATGGGGATGGCAGCATTGCAAACTCTTGGCATGGCGTGTGATTACAACAGGCGGCTGCATGCGAGGACTCGTTGTTGGCCGTTTTGTCTTGCGTGGTTCGTTTATTCGCCCCATGAGCAGGACTGTCCCCGTCGGCGAGAGTTCGCGACGCAATTGCTTCGCTTGCAGAATGATGGCGACAATGTGGACATAACAACATTCAAGATCCGTTGGGTATTCAAGTTCGAGATTGAACACGCGAGAGACTTCGGAACACTCGACAAGAACATATGGGATCTGCTACACAGCCTTTTCAGACTTTGGAGTTTGGATACGCAAGAAATTGAAGGAATCAACAACACAATTAAACATATCATGAGCATTGGACCGTACACAGCTTGGGAATTGCTGAGCGCCCGAACTATGGCCAGAAAGTTCTTGTGTTGGTATGGTGATGGCACGGACGAGTTTGAGGATTACTTCCTGGATCTATGTGTGGCAAATCACCTAGCAGTGCAGGCTGAATCCACGGCCGAGAAGTTGAAGGCTGAAGGTACTCGGCGCTTCGACATTGTTCAGCGCGGCGGCGACGAGGCGGCCGTTGCAGCTCCTCCCCCTGAGTGGCTCCCAGAAGCGACATACAAGGCGAGCGCCGCCAAAGCTGGGGCCACGAAGCTCATCACCAAACTGAAGAAACTCTGGGCTGATCAAGTGCCGATCGGTTTTATTCCAAACTATCAGTATGCTGTGCGAATTACGTCTAGGGGTTCACCAGATGTGGATTGGAAGGAACAGGCAGTGTTGATTATTTGTTTGTCGTTCCGAGGGTGTATGTACGTTTGTGCTTGCGATGCTGTTGAATCTGATGCAGGAAGGATGTTTGTTCAAACAAGGAATGACTCAGATATGTTTAGGTCGCTGTTGTCGGCGGTGTCTTTCATCTACCAGGATTGGAAGGATGCCAAGTCTGAAGGAAGGTATTACGACGCCATGTTTTCTTTCTTGGGGTTGAATTGGAGCGAAACAACAGTTCGAATGGCCTCCGTTGAACTCGAGGAAGTCCTTTTCACGATCAGTGGTATGAAGTGGCGGGAGGGGAAAATATTGAGCCAGCGCAGCCTCAGCCTGACCAGCCTGATGACCACGGTGACCAGCCTCCTGAGCCTCCTCCTGGCGATTTGGATGAGCATCGTGATCTTGATGATGAAGAGCTTCGCCTACTTCGGGATGATGCAGGTGCTCAGGCTTTCTATGCCCAGGACGACGGCGATGGTCCATCGGGGGACGGGGCAGACGAGCCAGACGGTCGCAGGGCAAACCTTGAACCCACAAGAGCTCACAAGAACTCCAGGGGACTCCAGAGAACTCCAGAGGACCCCAGAGAACCAGAGAACTCCAGAGGACCCCAGAGGACTCCAGATGACCCCAGAGAACCAGAGAACTCCAGAGGACCCCAGAGGACTCCAGAGGGGAGGGAGAAGGGAGGGAGGGAGGGTGACGTTTCAGAGGACTTTCTCAGGACCCAGGATCCCAGGATGCTTTTCAAACGACTTTCAATTCCAGAGGGCCCAGGAGGAAGGCTTGGTTTGTTCCCATAAAGGCGGGGCCAAGCAGCTCCACGCTGATCTTAAGGTCTGGGCAACCAAAGCTGGTATCCTGAAGGAAGCGCTCGCAGCAGTCGAGGCTGATCCCAGCATGCATGACGAGGAGAAGCTTGCAGAGGCAGTGCGTGGTTTGGAAGGGCTTGAACAATCTCTTGGCCTCGGTCTTCGTACTGACCCACCCGCACCAGCGCCGCCACCGAGTACTGGGGCCAGTGCACTTGATTTGTTGATCGAGCATTGGGCGCCAGGAGTCATCACTACTCTAGAAGCTTTCCAGGAGGTGTCTAACCCAGTCAATCTCATACCAGAATCAGCAATGGTGTGTTTGATTGAGAGGCTGCTGCACGCAAGCGAGCACGACGGCGGCAACGAGTATGCGGTCGAGTGGTGGAGGGTCGATGAATGGAACGCTGATCTGCCCGTGCTGAAGGCCAGGCCATGCCCTGTCGATAAGAGGGGCTGTCTGTCATATGTTACACCTGATCAAAAGAAAGATTTGTCCGATGCACTTTCTCGAGGGGATGATCGACTGCTTATACCGAATACACGACACCGCATCATCCGGAACAAGGATATGTGGCATGCACCCGAGCCCCACCTTCGTGTGCTACGCAACTTTCATCTTGCCCGCCTTGAGGCGGCAGCTGGTGCACTTACAGAGCTGGGACAATGTTGCGTGTGCCACCACGAGTGCGACGAATGTGTATGTCCTTTGTGTGGTACTCGTTCACATCCTGATTGTATGGGTGACTTATTTCTTGGTGTGTCAATACATGAGTTTTGGTTTACCCACGTATGCACTGGCACCGCAGATAACGTTGCTCACCGAGGTGCACTATTGTCTCATTTCAAGGCAGAGCAATCTATCAGCAAGGATTTGCGGCTGTTTGTTGGCTGCTTATGCGTGGCCTGTGCTTTACTTGCAAACGCAGAGAATGACATGTGAGTACACGTGCATTGTTGCATTTCAACAGGATAAAAAGCATGTGGACCCAGAATTGTGTCACCGGTTCCCCATGTCCTGATAAGAGTCACATTGGGCTCCATTAGACCTTGGAGGCACCTTTTGAGACCGTCTTGGAGACTTTATTGGGGCTATGTTGGGCTCTCGTGGGGTCATCTTGGCAATCGTGGGCGCATCTTGGAGGCCATCTTGGGCTCCCGTCTCCTCATTCTGGGCACTCCCACCTCTTCCGGATCCCTCATACTGTCTTATTTTTAGGTGTCTTCCTCGAGCTCGGAACGGTCGAGATTTCAGACAGGTCGAGCCACCGCGAGACCCCCCACTAGGGACTTGGAGGCGAGTGGGGGGGGGTCACTAGGGACTTGGAGGGTAGTGGCCCCTGTCACTAGTGAGATATCACTAGTCACCCCCCCGCCACTAGTGAGATATCACTAGTGACAGGGGCCACTACCCTCCAAGTCCCTAGTGACCCCCCCCCACTCGCCTCCAAGTCCCTAGTGACCCCTCCCCGAGATGATTTCACAGGGTGGTTCCAGTCAGGTTTCGGAACCGAATTTGCGACCCCAGGCACAACAAAAACAGTGGTTTGAACAAGAGGTTGCTGGTTTATTCCAGGGGGTGAGGACACATACACACGATGTACTTGCATACATATGGATGGGGAGAAGACGAGGAGGTGAGATTTTTGTTGCGAACGGAACACGGTCACTATTGCTAGACATCATTTCCCATAGCCTTTACCAAGCATCAAAGTCTGACTCAGACTCGGTTGAATTTGCCAGCTTGGCACTGCGGCTTCTTCACGGCAGGGTACCTGATGTCGGGAGTCCGCGGGGGCGGGCTCGCACGTGCTACTGCTGCTTTGAAAGGTGGGTCAAAAGATACTGATTCTCAGAATTCTCCTCCTGTTGAAACTGATCACAGCCCAGCCAAGTTCAAGAAATGGAGCAGTGCCTCTTCGGCGTCTGCGAGATATGGTGGAGCGGTTGGGCGAGTGCTCGATGATCGCGTGAATGAAGACTACATTGATCAAGAAGGCGTGCGGCTGGAACTCTTCGACAAAGACGGCAAACCACTTCTCTCAAGACACGAACTCAACAATCGGAATCAGGCTGACACGCGTGCCAAATACAAAGCAGTGGTGCTGAGTATCGGTTACAAACCGCGCTCGAGGAACGAGATGATTGCAGTACCAACTGATAAAGGTAGTGATCATTATTGGATTCTCCCGGGAGCCCACCTGGTCGAGGCGATATACGACGCCTGTTCAGAAGATCCTACTAACCAGCAAGTGAGGGCGTCCATCAAGGGCGGAGTGAAGGCGTCAGTCTTGGACTACAGGACGCCAGCGGATATTCTAGAACACTCCAAAGAAGATGGCAACGCACTCAATCACATGTCTGGTCAGATTGCGTGGACCGAGATGATCGCCGACTGCCCCCGCATCCAAGACAAGTGGAAGGCCGATCGGAAAGTCACAGTGGGCGGCCAGGCCGAGTCTGACGATGCAGATGTCCCTTGTGAACAGGACGATGATCAACATGCCAAGCGCGGCAAGAAAAAGTTTGATAACAAGCAGTATGAGAATGACTACTCCACGTTCCTGTCCAAGCATTTCCCTGGCTACTTCCCGAGAGGCTTCAACCAGTTTGACATGTGCAGGCGTTGCTCCAACAAACTGAAGGACCATCCTGATCTATGGAATGAGCTTCGCCATTACTGCGACCAGCACTGCGTGTACTCGGAGCCCAAGTTGATCAACGCGGATGTCTGGTACCTGCTCGACAAACTCATGGGCAAGCTCGAGGATCATGGGCTGTGGGACTACTTGATTACCATATTCAAATATTGCGTTCCGACGAACGATGGGACGGCGTGGCTTGTGAAAGAGAGGAAGGATTGGGACAAGCTTCTCGCTTTGTTTGTTCCGATGTCCACTGGGGCAGCAAAGCCAGGCGACAAGATCAAGGCTGCCAAGATTGCAGAGAAGGCTGCTCAGAAGAAAGCATTCAAGCTCAAGGTGCTCTCGAAGAAACAAATGGAAGCCACCATGATCACGAAAGTCAAAGGTAAAAAGAGTAAAGAGGCCTCCAAAGCTGCCCCTGCGCCCAAGGACAAGAGCGACGCCTTTTCCGAGTATTGGGTCGGTGGGGGCTCAGGCAACATTCTTGCATTGGAAGAGATCTTGGGCACGATCGAGCATGCGGTAGATGACATTGTTGAAGATGCGCATTGCAACCAAGATTTCATGTGGCAGTGCTTGGACTTGGGCATCGTCTGGGTCGTGCAAGGTGGCACAGCGTTTGTTCCACCACTGGCGGATCAGCGAAAGAAGATCGATGAGTGCACTGACCCAACGAAGAAGGTCCGCTTGGAGAAACAGCTTCAGAAGACGTGCTGGTCTGGATTGAAAAAAACACATATGTATGCTGCTTTGGGAATTTCACCAGCATGCACCACGTAAGGATATGGAGGAGGTGCTCGGCCCGAGCCCAGCAGAAGTGGTTGACATGCCCACCAGCGCCCCAGAGGTCCTCTTCAATGAGAAGACGCTCCCCGACGGCATCAAGACAGACCAGTTGAAGGAAGCAGTTGGCATGGTCACACAGGAGTCCCTGAAGATCTACAGCAACTTCTTCACGCAGAACAGGCTGGATAATGTATCTCGGCAGGTTGCGGCTCGTTCGCCTTTGGTTTTCAAGATGAGGCAGCCTGCTCTCCATACCATGTCTTCAAACTTGCTGGAGCTCGTGACGGGTGCAGACCTGCAGACGGCTGATGTCACTTCGGTTATCGACATGGTGGGAACTGCGGTCTTCCGTTCGTTTCCTGAGGACATGCTGCATTTCATGACGCGTCTACTTGATGCATGTGGAGATGATGAGTCTGTATACGGGAAGCTATCTTCCGCAGGTCAGCTGGGCGATGATCTTGCATATCCGATTCGATGCCAATTTGAATTTCCCAGGGAACTTCGCACCCCAAACAACGATTCGAAACTTGCGAGGGGGGGGGGGGCGGGGAACAAGGACTCCCAGGGACCGAGAACTTTTCAGGGGGCGAGTTGGCGAGTTGGATGTGGAAGTCATTCCAGCCCTGCGCTAGGTGCCGCAGTACTGGATCAAGCCTTGGCGATTTGGCCGACTATTTCAGATTTGAGGCTGGCGATTGCTCTCCGTGGGATCTACACAAGTGTTCTGCTGAGGGAAGTACCTGATATCATCGCAGTGGCTCTCGAAGGCTCGAAGAGCGACGCAGGTAACTGTCAAGAGGTTGCAATCGAGACCAACATCTTCAATGAATTTACCATTGCTAAAGGCGTATTGGTCAAAATCACCGACATCGCGAGCATGGTGGAGTCCAGGGCAGTTGACCAGTCCGCGTGGGTGTCTGTATGGACGAAGGTGGTCACTGATGTGGCGAACTACTTCAAGCTTCCGAAATCTTCAACCCAGCTTCGTGACATGATGCAAGACTGGGCAACGCAATTGGATGAGGAGTGCAACAAGACCGAGGTGATTAATAGAGCAAGGTTGATGGGCTGGAAGGGCAACGTGAAGGATTCCAAGCAGGACATCATCAAGTACCTTGTTGAAAAGAGGGCCGCTGATGAGAATGATAAGGAGATGGAGGACGACGAGTCTGGCCGCGAGAAGTTCATGGATATTCTGCTTGAGGTTATTGGCGGCAGTGCCAGCGGTCCTGGTGCGCCCCCGCCGCAGCCGATCGGAGATGCCAAAGTGCAAGTAGCTGATGGGCCCGCGCTCGATAACTTGAACTTCGCACCCGTGAAGGTGAACCCCAATGCAATTGAATACGATGTCAAGGCACTTGGAGATTCGCGCACGCTCGAGCTCATGAAGTTGCGGCGCGTCGACGAAGGCATCTCCATGATCAAGCACAGGATTCATTCACGACCCGATGGTGATTCTATATCGTCCAAGATGTACTGCAACTTCCCATCTGGTGCTGGTACGACTTTGAAGCTCCACTTCATAGGGAAAGTTTCTCTCTTGAAATACGGGGTGCTTCCTTCGGCCAGGCACGTCATGAAGCTCGGCACGGTGAAGATCCCCGAGGGTTCTGGTGCAGTGTACACTGCGTGGGGAACGCCGACGACGGGCATGACAAAGTCGATCGGTCCCGAGTTCGCGCCAGCTTGGGGCGTGACCAGGTTGCCCTTGCTGAATGGGAAGCTTGGCGCTGAGAACGCTCCTAGCCTCAAGCTGGCCTTCCATGATGTTCATATTCCAGCCTGCACTGCAGGCTACAGCACACCAGCCATCACTCTTTCTGTGCCGCCCCTGGTTGTGAATGAGCGTATCTTCGAGATGGAGATGGGTGGGCCGTGGACCGAGCTCACCAGGCTCGAGTTCGCTGAGGAGAAGCAGGTGAAGGATGCTGCAGGTGCTGGCGCGAGCTTGCGCAAGCGCACGCTGAAGCTCGGCGACAGCGACGAGGCGCACGCCGAGCAGGTCCTCAAGCTGGCCAAGAGGGCGGCTGCCTAGCAGGCCGGCGGGCCCGTGGGCCAGCTGCCAGTAGCCAGTAGGAGGAGGAAGGAGGAGGAGGATGAAGGAGGAGGAGGAGGAGGAAAAGGAGGAGGAGGAGGGAGGAGGTGAAGGGGAGGCGCTCACTTGAACCAAAATGGCCACGGAGAAGAAGATGAGGATGAGGAGGGGAGGAGGAGGAGGAGGAGCAGGAGGAGGAGGAGGAGGAGGAGGAGGACGAGGGGGAGAGGAGGAGGAAGAAGAGGACGAGGAAACGGAGGAGGGAGGAATGGAAGTAAGGCTTCTTTTGACTTGCGTTGTGTTCCCGCTGGGCCCCCACTTCTTTTAGATTCCTGAGGCCTCTTGATGCTGCCCTGCAGGAGGTCTCAGGTCTGAGATTTTGCCGCGCTGCTTGAGAATTCGTGGGGCGCCCAGCGGAGGAGGCCGAGGAGGCCGCGGGGCGCGCGGTCTGGCTGCCAGACCGTCTGGCACGAAACTCGCTCGAGCTCGAGCGCGGGATGGGGCCGCTCGAGGCGCGGGGAAAGCCCGCCTCCCTCCTCCTCCGCTTCCTCCCCCACCTCTGCTTCCTTCACCTCCTCCCCCTCCGCTTCCTCCTCCTCCTCCTCCTCCTCCTCCTCCTCCCCCTCCTCCTCCTCCTCCTCCCTCTCCTCCTCCTCCTCCTCCTCTTTCTCCTCCTCCTCCTTGGGGGGGTCCTAGGGTCGAAGGTGCGCCGCTTGAGGAGTTAGCAGTAGCAGTAGTAGTAGTCATAGTAGTAGTAGAAGTACTCGTAGAACCGCGTTCAAATATTGCGAAAGAAGCCTCATGGCCGCCATGGCTCTCCTTGCTGCTGCTGCGCGCTGTGCACTGCGTGCTGCTTCGTTGGGCTGGCTTCCTCACTCTGTCCCCTCCTCCTCCTACTCAACTTCCTCCCTCCCTCCTCCCCTTCCGCCCTGCTCCTGGCCCCTTTCCTCCCTCCCTCCCTCCCCCCTTTTCGTCGCAATTGTTGCTCAAACTACCTCCACCACTTCCTCCTTCTCCTCCGATTCCTCGTCCTCCTCCTCCTTTTCCTCCTCCTTCCTCCTGCTCCTCCTCCTTCTTCCTCCTCGCCACTCCCGCCCGTCGCCATTTTGGCTAAAACCAGCGCTCGCAGCGCTTTCACTTTCTGGATGTTCCGTTTGTTGGGGAGCTCACTCTCGCTTGATTTCTTATGTTTGCGCGCGGGTCGCCGCGCAGAAAAGCCAGAATACCAATTTCCTGGCCCGCTTCGCAACGCTCGAAAACGGCTGCATGCGTTGGAAAACGCTGCTCCACACAGATCCAACCGAGGAGTCGTTTGAGTGCTGTTGGTTAGGTTCCCAGACGGGCGTCTGCCCCTCCTGCATCGTGCCGGCCCCAGCGGGCCGCCCCCCGAGGGGCCCGCCGGGCCGCCAAGACACTCGACGCGCGGCGCATGTGCACGCCTCGCGGCAAAAGGCCCGCGCAGTGAGAAAGCCACGGCGCCGGCGAGGTCTGTTGAAGGCGTGGAAGTGGGCATCAGCACCAAATTGGTGGTCTCCAAACCAAGTGGTGAGACACCCGGTGGTGACCCCGATTCCCCCAAAAAGTAATTCTGGGTCACCACCGGGTTTGGGGACACGCGGTCGCCACGAGGTTTTGCGTTTCCTGGGCCGGCCAGCGCTCGAAAACCATTACCCAAATCGCCCAAAACTCACCACCGGGTGTTCTCACCACCACGTTTGGGGACCACCAACCAAAACAAGGGGCTTGCCTCCACCGGGGCAAAGATGGTCCCAGGTTCTGGTGCTGGTGGCAATCTCTCGGCCACCCAGGAAGCCCGAATATTACCAACATCACCGAGGTCGACATCATCTTCAGGAGAACGGAGAATGACGTAAACAGAAAGACTCGGAGGTCCGCGCAGATTCCTCGGATCGGCGCTGGACCCACCTCCCTGGCGCGCGGAGCGCGCCGGGGGCGGCGCCGCAGGCGCCGCCGCAGGCGCCGCCAGGGGGGTCCGGCGCGGATCCGAGAAATCCGCGCGGACCTCCGAGTTTGTATGTTTGTGTCATTCTTCGCTCCTCTGATCTGCCCTCGATGAAGGCACGCCGCCGATTGTGGTGTTGGTGCCAACCTCTGGGCCTGCGAACGTCTGGGCTCTCGACGTCGACGGCGCAGGGATTTCAAGGAATAGACACGAATGCCAGGGCTCCGCAATATTTCCCTACATGTTCTGGGTGTTCGTCCTCCCCCTCACCTCCCACATGTTCCCATATTTTCCTGGGAGTCGGCGGTGAATTGCGTCTGTGCGCTTCTTCTCCTCCTGACATTTCCCGTGCACTGCAGTCAAACCTAGGACAGAAGAACATCCTTCCAGAATTTGAGATCCGCCGCTGGCCAAAGCACACAGGACGTCCAAGAGTCTCCTCCCCAGGATGCACGTGAACAGCCAACAGACGTGCAGAGCCTACTGGGGCACCCTCCCCGAACCGACCTCGACCTCATACCTCGGTCAGACACTATTAAGCTTCGTGTTTGTCTCTCCAGCTGGTCAGAGATTCCGAGATGCTCCAAGATGCTCCAGATCGGATTGCAAAAGCCCAAGCTGCTTCGAGCTGGTCCCAGCTGGCGCTGGCCTCGCAGACAACATAGCGCACACGTCGCAGCGATGGCAACGAGAGGGGGGGGGAATCGGCTCCGCGCCGGCTGACTGCGGCAGCTCTGAATCCAAAATTGATGACGTCTCACTCTTGCTTCAGCCGTCTTGAAGGGGCCCCAGGACACACAAATAAATACACACAAATAAAAAGATTCCTCATATTTTCCTATATTTTCTGGGTTTTTGTCTTCCCCCCAACTTCCCATATTTTGCCATATTTTCTGGGGAATCGACAATTAATTGTGTCTGTGCTTTTTGTTTTTTTTTCCCCTCCTGACGTCTTCGGCTACACGCAAGAGCGACCCTGGGCAAGGGTGACATTTGGTGCGCTGCTGTCGGGGGGCCTCGGGAGGGGCCAGCCCCCCTGCGCGCAAGACGCTGCTATGGCATCGCGTCCGACGATGAGGGGACCCCATTGGGCCCGCACCAAAGGTCTAGAGGCCTCCTAAATGGAGTCCGAGTTGATGAAGTCGGAGAATCCCGCCGCATCGCCAATGCATCGGCGATGCATCGGCGACGTCGGCGAGGCATGGGCGCCATCGGCGTGGAGAAAATTGGGCCCCTCATCGCGCCGCATCGCTGATGCATGGCCGATGCACCGCGGATGCGGCGCGATCCTCCGACCCATCTACTCGGACCTCATTTGGGAGGCCTCGAAGGTTACTCCGGCGAAAACGTCTAGTCGACGTCTTCCGGCGCGGCCGTCGCCGTCGTGCTTCCGCCGATGTCCGCTGGTCCTTCCGCCGGCTTCCGCCGCGGGCGGGGCCGCACCGAGGGCGAGGCCCCCTCTGGAAAGAGGCCGGGGGGGCGCTGCGCGTACCCCTGCCCTCGCCCTCGTCGCGATACCCTGGCTGAGCCCCTTTGGGATCCTCCTCCTCCTCCTCCTCCTCCTCCTCCTCCTCCTTCTCCTTCTTCTCCTCCTCCTCCTCCTCCTGGAGCCCCCCTATAAGGGGCTGGATGCTCATGCTGGGCACCTTCCTGGAGGCACTCGCTCCACTCGCGCGTCGCAGCTGCGTCGAGCGTCCGTCGACTTGAGTCGGCCCTGGGCCGATCCTGAGTCGAACCTGGGTCAAACTTGTTGAGCAGGGGCCGACCGTCCTGGCAATCCTATAGGCCTACCACGACATGATCTTAGAACCCCGAAATGTTTTGAAAACAGAAACCATGCTCTGAGAACATAAGCCCGGCGTCTTAAAACACAACAGTCTCGGCCAGACATGTTCTAAGAACATGCCGTGTAGACCACCAAACGTTATTAGAACATTCTTTCGTGGGCCCATAAGCGAGCCAGGACGCTTCACCACTGCTTGCACTTGAGTCGAGCTTGAGTCGAACTAGAGCTGAACTGATGTGCTAGGTTTAGGTCGGGCATGTCCCCCTACAGGCTGATTTTGGCCGACAAATAGCAGATAGCCAAGCATAAACAAAGTTATTCAAACATACTATTTCAAAACATGTACATAAGTAAAAACATAAAAAAAAAAAAAAAAAAAAAAAAAAAAAAAAAAAAAAAAAAAAAAAAAAAAAAAAAAAAAAAAAAAAAAAAAAAAAAAAAAAAAAAAAAAAATGACGTCCCCCGACTAGTTATGGCTTGCCTATGTCTCGATCCTTCTCCTGTTGAGGGACAGACCCGACTTCATGCCCGGTGTTCGTGGGCCCCAGGAGGGTCCCGAAAACGAGCGTCCAAGAAGGGGGAGAGCGAGCGGACCGCGCCACGGCACGACGCCTCCGCGAGGCAACCCCGGGGGGCCCATGGCCGACGCCCGTGCAAAAGGCCGCCGCGTACACGGCAGAGCCGCGGGGGAGGAGGAGCGAGGGAGCGGAGGGAAGGCGAGGGGGGAGGATCCCGAGAGGGGGCCCGGAGGGCCGACGCCGCGCAACAGAAATGCAACACCGCAAGAGATCACCGGGGGGCAAACAAACCTGCCTCGCTTCTGACCGCCCTCGCTTCCAAGAGATACCAGGCGATGCCAAACTGCGGCCTGTACTGGTCAGGCCGCCTGACGAGGAGGCGCGCGGTTATGACTCGGTTTTGCCTGGAAGCGAGAGCGGGGCAGGTAATTCACGCTCTGAATCACGACTGGAGCCCGCGGCCCCCATCCTTCTGCGTCAGTTCCTGATCCGGATCGATCTGTGAGGGCCCCGGGGCCGGAAACTGGACAAAAATGCCCGTTGTGAAAAGATCGCGTCGACCAGATCTCCGGGGAAGAGGAGGGGAAGGAAGGCGGGGAAGAGGAGGGAAGGGAGAGAGGGGGACGAGACTCGAAGCGCTCGGATCGGGGGGCGAAATCCCGGCCCTGGCGGCGAGTGGCCCGTCGCTCCGGCGGAGGCCCGCGCGGAAGCGGCCAGGAGGAACGCGATAAAG